TTTTGAGACTAACTCTTTTTTCTTTATTAGTACTGCCTAAAATGGAATAAACCTTGTGTCTGTTTTTATCTTCTGAACAGGATATTTTCAAAGACAGCTTCTTTGGGGGAGTCTGGAATAATTAATTATCTCTCCCCTCCATCTTTCCCAATGCACTTAATTTGAACTTTCATAATGAAAACTCATCTCTCATAAATGCTGGGATGGTCCATTTTGTATGTGCCTGCTCTGTCCTGCTTTGAGTGATGTGTAAATAAGAGGCAATCCAGTGATGAGTTTTGCTTGTGTGGTGCATAAGGCTGGAGAGGGAGGAGGGTTTGATGAATAGAGGCAACCAGAAAATGTACTTGATAATAACATGGCCATGATTGATGTTGCAATTCCTGAAAAATTATCATTGTGATATAATTATTTGTTTATGAACTGTGCCCTGAGACTCCCAAGTTTGAGATTATTCATGGCACAGATAAAAACTCTAAAGTCAATAATTCATCAAGGGTATAATGGCTTTGTTTGCAGGAGGAGGGGGGTCACATGGATATTACATCCTGTTTCTGACACTTCCGCTATAAATCTGAGCACTCCTTCAATCCAAGGAGGAGACACCTCCTTACCTTCTGCTCTGTTTCTCCTCTTAAGTAGTTTTTGTATATACTATTTTACAAACTGAAATTAATTTCATTTTTCTAGAGAAATTCTCTCAACATCACCTGGATTATTCTTCTTGGTGTTTCACGACTACAAAAAAGAGAAGCCAATGGGTGAATGGAAAACAAGTGCCCTTTGTCCCTAGAGAAATATGACAGTAACTGGAAATTCAGGGGCTATGAGTTCTAGTTTCAGGTGGAACAAACATTCTGTGAATATATTTGTCCCTTTGATTTTGATCCACAAAAGTGGATTAAGGGGGGCCCTCAAATTTTCAGAAAATTGATGAGTTTGGTTTTATAATTCTTTAATTTTGAGTGGATTTTATACTGTACATATGAAGAATCTTGGTACTTCTCATCCTAATTGTAATCCCATAAAGTGGCTACTATGGTGCTTTACCTCTACTTTTTGTCATTTTCTTCTCATGATCAGTTTTTTTCTACTTTGGTTTACTTACAAGGCAGTATCCCAGTGGTATGTTTTATGTGTGTATAATGTGCCTGTAGCTCAGGACTACACAAATACTGGGGCTGGGTCTCTCCTCTCCAGCAGAGTTGTGCAAAGTATATGTACAGTACAATGAAAATGCCTGTTTTCAGAGGAACAGGCTCTTGTTTACCTTCCATGCCTAGTGAACGAATTCCCTTAAATTACTTTTTACCTAAGTCAAGGCCAGCATTACAAAGCCATATACATACAGGAGTGTTGGAGGTCTACCTGAACAAAAGTCTGTGGAAAGGGACAGTGGTGGTGGACCTATGTCAGGCATGTTACAGCAGGCTGTTTGTATCACTGAAAGCTCTAACAGTTTCACCATCACTGACCTAGGAGTTCTGGTTGATCAGAGGCTTAAGATGAGATGATAATGTGATCTAGTTGTAGGGAATGACTGCCATTACGGCAGTTTTAATTTAGACCTCAAAGTCCTGACTAAGAGACAGCATGGGACTTCTCTAACGTGTAGGCACTAGATTATACCTGCATCCATATGATTTGTGCAAGGCCACATTTTATTAAGGACTTGTACCAGTTGAATTGTGTCCTTCCAAATTTTGAACTCTCTCAGTCCCCACTGCTTCTGCATGTGACCTTGTTTTCATGGCACAGTGTTGTAATGAGTAAAGATGAGGTCATAATGGAGCACTTTGGTCCTTAATCTAGTATGAATGGTGTGAGAAGGATGGCAGTGGTGGAGGAGGAGGACTCCCTGTGAAGACGCAGGGACACACAGGGAAAAGATGGTCACCTGAAGAAGGAGGTAGAGATGCATCTACAAGCTGGGGAATGTCAGGGATTGGTGGTAACTGACAGAAGCGAGGTGAAGAGCATGGAATAGACTGGTTTTCAGACCCTTCCTTGCAGTCACCTTGATTTTACAGGTCCAGAGAGAATACATTTACATTGTGGCAAATAGGCAGCCCTAAGAAGCCAATAGAGGCCTTGACTCAGATGAAGATAGCTAGGGTGTGTAAGGGCTTTGCCATAATGTCATCAGAGGGACATTCAAAAGCACAAGTGACATTTAGCCTAGAGAGCTGTTGAAACTCTGACATCCATAGTTACATCTTTGAAGGCCACTCAGGTAGAAAAGAGTTTAGATTTAGTCCACTTAACTTGAGAGGTATGATTCCAGCTCATAACTACACAGTTTTAACTATCCAATAGTGAGCTAGAAAGAACCTTTGCTCTAGAATTACCAAGATGTGATTTCTACATGAGAAAGTTCCACTCAGTTGCTAAGATTTCCAATAGACTGTTGTGTTTACACAGCTTGTGCTCATCTGTGAGGATATACTAAGTGGTACTTTCCTTGAAATCTAAGATTTATTTTCTTAGCTGTCTGTAGGAAATGATATCACAGTTAACTAATTTAGCTACCAAATGATTGCGTGCTCTCTCTTTCTCTCTCTCTCTCTCTGCCCACCACCCCCGATTTACCTAAATGATTGCTGGATACAGTCAGGACAGTATTGCAGGCACGTACATCTAACTAGTACCTAAGATTTTTGATGGGCAATTTTGTGCCAGTCATCTGGACTATCCAAGGAGGCGGGAAAGAATGAATTTTCTTCTTTATCATTTTGACATTCCTTTCTTGATACAAACTCAAGTTATCCTATCTAATCACATGTTGTATTTTTTCATATGTCTTCATCCATCACCACCCATTTATAAATCACTGCGCTAGGCAGTTTGGGGTGATGTGAAGATGAATGAGCAGTAATTCATGCCCATGGGCAGTTTATCAGGTCAGACTCCTTCTTTGTAAATTTTCTAGGAGACACAAAAGAGAAGAAGGCAGGTGAGGGTGTTCACTTACTTTAGTGTACCAGCAAAGTTCCACAGTTGTTATAAGTCTTTGGATGTCACTGTCTAGACCAAGATTTTTTTTTTATCTACATGATATGAAAGTTGGCAAAGGTATTCTTCCTCTGTCTCATACATTACCCCTGTATGAACAGGGGTAATAATCTTGGCCTGAACAGATGATCATCTGTGCTTGAAACTGTATCTTACCTCCTACTTTCAGTGCAATGTGTATGCCAAATTGATTTTAAGTTGCATTAAACATTTTAATACAAATAGACATTGTCCAGGAGAAGGGGAAGATGGGTAAGAATTACAGTCCACGATGACTAAAAGCAGTTATTTTATGTTCAGCTGAGTGTATACCTTTGCCCTTGTCCTTTCTGTTGATTTTACCTAATTTTTTTCTTGTGGTTCACTGCCAAATAAACTATAACAGTATCAGGTAGGAGGAGGGAGTAGGTGCAGAGAGCTGGCTGCTGATCTTTGTTCTGTCCATCACTTGTAAATTGGAGTCTTGACAAGATGATGTTTCCAGCCTGACGAGGAAGAGGTTGCCAGGCCTGGGTGTGAGGGTGGTAGGGCTTCTTGATTATTAATGGGTCTGAGCCCAGAACTCACTCGTCCTAGCTGAGAGATGTTCTTCATTTCATGAGTGACTCATTTCAGCACTGATGGGTATGCATAAAAGGGAATTTGCTCATACTAAGAGAAGACTGGGTTTGGCAGGAATCTAAGAGTTCCACTACGTGGTCTAAATGCTATCTGGATTTAATTCACCCACCCTCTCCGACTTGCCCATGTCAACCCTCATTGCCAGCACCTGCATATCATAGCACTGAAGGAATGACCATCCGTATTATCCACTCTCGTGCTCATCCATCACCCCTGTGCCATGAGTGGACCCAATGCACACGAAGCTCTGACGGCCATCACCAAGAGAGGACCAGGGTAAAGCTGGCTTCCTCACTCACCTCATCATCCATTCAGGGCTTTTGAGCTTCACCAATTTTTTACTTCCCAGTCTTGCCATACTATATCCTTTTAACTCTCAAGAGCAAAAGGGAAAGATACATTTTAGAAAAGGAGCTAGGCAGACTCAATTCTGTGTTGTCAGTCCCCTCTTGATTTCCTAATTTTAAGCACTTATTTCAAGGGCATATTAGGGAAAGCTAGAAGCCCACAACACTAACCACACTTCCATACTGACCAGTCTAAAGCATCCTTCCATTAATAACAGCTGCCCTCAAACTGGAAAATGTCAGTGCTGATTTAGCCTGAGGAGATGATATTATTGTTGGTAGCTTTTGGGCAGATGTATTTGTTTCTTTTCTTTTTTTTAGCCCAATCAGTTCATATCTCTTAATTTTTTTGGAGAACATAAACTTAAGAAAGATGACCCCCTCCTTATCCTTAACTTTGATATAAGAGCTGGCACTTAAACAAAGAGTTACCAGACAACCTGCCCTACAGTGTGACAGGCTGTTTGCTTACCTAACCATAACACAGCACAACCACGGTTTACTAAGCCTGTCTGGAGAAAGACAATACATATTTAATGTAAAGAGAAGATATAAACAATAGAAGTTAGTTATACATTATAGAGTATAATAAATGAAAATACTGAGTGCATTTTAAATGATTAATGTATGAAAACAGCCATCACTTACTGTGCATTAATCAAGAAAAAATGCACACTTCCCATAGTGGTTAATGTTGCAGGCCTACCGTTCAGCCTTGATAATGTGCATAATAATGCTCAGTATGACAATGAGTTTGGGTAGCTGGAAGTTTAGGATGGTTGCAAGTTTTGTGTAGTATTTGGATTAGCATCTTAATCTGTGCCTTGTCAGCCTCATCAGTATATAAGCTATATAATATATATATTTTTTTCCAAAACTAGCAAAAATATAGATGTAGTTTTAGAAACTTTTTTTCCTTTTTTTTTTTAAAGAACAAATAGTGACCAAGGTACCTGCTTAAACAAATACTACCAGCATTCATTAGTTAGGATGGTTACATGTAAAAGAAATGATGCCAGATAGTAACAAATCCAAGAGAAGTTTATTATGAAAATGGCACCTGCAGATGAAAAAATTAAGTTACATAAAGACAACCATGTATGTGACATGTATGAGAATCTACAAAAGTATAAAAAGAACCCTGTTGTAAATGAAGTATGTACATTTCTGATCTGCAGCATTATCAATGGTCAATGAAAAAAAAATGTTTCAAAATAAGCCAGGCACTCAGGAAGTTAGGTCCGGTTAGCTTCACACAAAACAAATGTACCATAGCTGTCGCTTTGTAATGTTTTAATTATTTTTTTATATATATCGTAGAGTTGGTAACACTGCTAAGATTTTTACGAACAGAATATCCCTTTCCCCATTATTCAGCTACTTGGCACCAGTCTCCTCATAAAAGTTTTCATATATTTGTACAAGAAATAGTTAAAAACACAGACACAGTCTTCACAGGTAATGAAGTGTTTTTTTTTTTTTTCATTTTGTAATTTTAAACACTATGGATTTAGACAGCAGCTGTGATTATCTGTTAGTTTAAATCACCAGAAATCATTTTGACACAACACAGAAACATTTATAAAAGAAAAAAAAACAGCTGTCTAGCTGTTCTTTGTAGCTGATAGGTGCATTCCTTTGATTGTTCGATAGCTAGAGCAGAGCTTCCAAAATTAATCTTTAAATTTCTTGATCAAACTTCTTCACCTTCTAAACCTACTTATATCTTTCAAGTAAGCTCACGACTAAAATGTGTGGCATTTAACTCCCTTCTGTTATTCTTTCACCATGGCTTGGGCCCAACTCATAGAATCAAAGGTTCTAGAAGAATCCACTCAACACAGTGATATTCAAAGGACAGCCGAGTTACTATATTAGCATTGCACAAATAAACAAATATATATGACAATTATATATTCCATTACCCCCTCCCACTTTGTTTTTTTAAAAAAAACACTGGTTGACCTTTGAAATAATTTTCTGTCTCACTGGTAATTGCTTTATATATTGCTCCATCAGCCAACCTGAAAGGAAACCAAAGAAAAGCACCCACTGCTTATAGGTAGAGCACAAGGGACTCTGGGAATGTCAACAACTGAGGCTGTATGGCATTGATTTATTTAGTATATCTGAGCACTATTCTTCAGTGCTTTGTCTTGCACTTCAGAAGAGAGAGTCATACCCAGAATTCCGTTGTGGGAAAAAATGGCTCCATTCACCTTGAGCTAGTTAAGAGTCTTTTTATCTCTGAGAATGAAAAGGATTTTGGATACAGGAGAAGGAAAGCAGAGGAGGGAAGAGGGAGGATAGGACAGGGAGGGAAAGAAAGGAGAGGTAGGGAGAATATACACCGGCAAAGCAACAGCAGGAAGTTAAAAAAGTAAAACGGAGAATTCACAGACAGTAGAAGCAGTATAGGGTGACATTACAGAGGAAGGCCACCACACAAAAACCACTAACCCCCAAGAATCACTGATTCACTAGGACTGCGGGAATGGGACTGTACCACTCCAGACTAGAGATAGAGCACAGAGAAGACAAAGGACAAAACAACTACATTAGCTTAGTATATACTGCATATAGAAACACACATTGAAACTGCATGGGACTGACAGCCAAAGACACATACACATCGTACACGTTACAGTTTTCACATCTCTTATTAGATGCCTTAACAAACAGCTGCCAAAAATGAAGTGGAGGAAGAATTTATACTTGACAGTCATTTGGAGTGTTTGACACCACACTGATTTCTGGCAACAAAGACAAAATAGGATATTTTTTTCTTTTTGTTTTCTTTTTTTTTTCTTTTTTTAACTTAATGTGCAGTTTTCATTTGCAGTTATCTGTCTGAAGCTTATTAACCCATTCTTTAGTTTTAAAACTTATTGGTTTCAATCCAGAAATAAGCAAAGGGAAATAAATTCTATCAAACCAGTCCCCCAAAATACAACCTTCCATTTTTTTCTTTAAGCAAGAAATGAAAAAGAAAACCAAAAACATGTTAAATATTTTCCTTCTTTTACTCCGAAGTGTTACTGAAGTTGCAAAATTAGCCTCAGTTAGACTGAGTAAGGAAATAAAAGCTCAACAAAAGACAGTATGTACCTAGACTGCTCCTCAAATCAGCTCGATTGAGTTTTCCAGCCCTTTTTTAAAAGGGCTTTACTGACCCATTAAATTTAATGTGAGGCTATGTTTGTTAGTCGGGAGGTAAAAAATTTTAAGTCCTGCAGCAAACGTTAATGAGGGCTTTGTCTTAACTAACCAAGGAGACTGCAGCAACGGACTCCAGACCAGGACAGAACACATTTTTTTTTTTCCCCAAAACTCAGCCCAGGAGCTGCATTTTGTATGAAGACATTACAGATTAATAAATGATAGCACCATGGTTTTAGAAATTAAGTTAATGTTTCAGTAATTAACATTTAGTCCAACCTTTTTTTCTTAAAAAACATTCTAGTCACAGGCCAGAAATTAAGTTTAAGAACCCAAATTATTTTTATGTGCAAGTAAGAAAATCTTAAAATCTTAACCATAAAAAGAATTAAATTCTGCATAAAATTCTAAAATACTATTCCCCTATTTTAAAAGGAATCAGGAACAGAAACAAACAAACAAACGAAAAAACCACCCCCTCTCATTTGACTTAGTCAAACAGGGCATTGTTTATGCTTGTCTCTTTCTCCATCTTGATCATATCAAGATCTTTACGAAAAAACCAAGGGTTGTCACTTGAGAAATCTCTTGACCACAAGACTGAGTATTCTATGGCAGAGGCATATACACATGAAAGACATCTTAATAAAGATGCAAAGGAAAGCAAAACAACCCAAGACACATCTTAGAAGAAGACAAAACGGCAGGCAACTGGTCATTTGACCCTCTGAAGGCAAAAAATAAACATATCTTTACAGGAAAGAATAAGTCATATTAAAGAAAGAGGGATGGAATGGGGACCGTCGTGTGGAGAGAAGACGCTGACCTGCTCGAATTCAAAGTGCTAGAATTAAAGGTCTAAAACGAAAAGCCGACGATGCCTCCGAGCGGAACCCTGCGCACGCCGGGCGCGCCTGCCTAGTCCTCCTTGCGCTCCAGAGTCTGTGCGGCGTGGATGCCGTTGCTGTAGACCGGGAAGGGCAGCGTGGAGAAGAGTCCCTCGGCCGTGGTGAACACGTTGCCCGCGGGCATCTGCGTCAGGCTGGCCGCGCTCACCGCGCCGCCGAACGGTCCTGACATGTTGAGCCTGTGCACGTGGTGGTAGAGCATCTCCATGGGCGTCTTGGGGTCGAGGCCGAAGCCGGGGCTGTTAACGTCCACGAAGTTAACAGCGTGCGCGTTGGGCAGCAGGTTGCCCTGCATGGCCAGGGTCACCTCGGCAGGCGCGTAGCGGATGGTGCCCGTGGTGTAGACCCTCTGCGCGGCCGTGCTGGTGGCGGCCAGGGTGCCCGTCACCCGGTGCACCAGAGGGAGGACGACGTTGCCCGCCTGCAACCTCTGCAGCGCCTCCAGGTCCCCAGTGTACAGCAAGGAGTTGGACGCGCTGGGCCCCCCGCC